GCTAATACAATATTTAAAATTAATGACTCAATGTATAATTTAATAAAAAGTGATATTGTTTATGCAGCAATTACTGCTTGTTTATCATTTCAGGATAATAATTTCTGTTCAATTTTATTACAAGGAGTTACTAAGTTTATTGTTTACGATAATACTCTTCCTGAACCACAAGTGGCTGATGGTTTAATTTCTCATCATTTTGATGAAGGTCTTATTCCAATTATGTCATCTTCTGTTAGAAATATATCTAATTTAGCAATCACGTTGAACCATTTATTAGAACATACTTTCCAACAAGATTTATAATTGAATATTATCTCTTCTGGTTTTTTTTCATCTAATCTTAAATGCTTTTTACTTTACTTATTCTGGATGAATAGAAATGCATGTAAAATAATACTTCCATAAATATTTAATCCTTTCTTTTTTATATCTAAAAACATACTATCTTCGTTTTTGTTATAGAATAATTTATATTCAAAAAAAAAGAAGTTAAAATTTAAAGTTAAACAGTTTATGTTATGTAATTTTGTTATTTTTTTATAAGAATAAAGAAATATATTAAAACAAGAAGAAATGGGTGACTATTATCATTAATATAATTTTTAATAGATTTAAGTAAGTTATGACATTGTATTGATATTTTTAGTATTTTGATTATAAACACTTCTTTTCTTTATGTTTCATAATTTTTAAATTTGTTTTTGAATAGTAAAATTGATAACAACATGATTTTTATGAAATGAAACTCATAAGAAAGATGTTAATTTGTTGTTGAAATACTGATTTTAGATGATACACATTTCACATAGACTTTTCGATTCCATCAATAACCATCCCAACAAAATGTGGTTCAGTAAATTTATAAGATCCTAAGATTACTCTTAAGCTTTCAAGGTCACAACCCATTTGATGTTCTAATTCATTAACAATGAATGGGGTTATTGTTCCATCATTATATTTAGCACTTAATTTCTTAAGTAATTCAGATATCAAGTGAGCTTTTAAAGAACATGAATTTAATAATTGTAACAAAACAGAACTAATTACTAAAGATTTATTTTGTTGTAAAAGATTTAACACAAGAAGAATATACGGAGAAAGGATTTGTGCAGATGGAGGATTAAGTAATTCAGGAAGTACTTTTATAGTTGGAACAAATTGTGGAATGAAGAGTTTTTTTGAGGCATATGTCATAAAATAATTTTGACGTTGAACGAAGTAACGAGATATACTTTGTGTTAAAGAACGTCCCACAGTTTGATTAACTGGATCAATAACACAGAAAGGATAAGGTAGGATAAAATATTGTTCTTCAGTGAAAGAGGTTAAACATATTGTTCTGAAGAATGGATTTGGAATAGAAATAATTTTCTGTGATAGAGGTTGGGTATTAGGTTGGTTATATAAATTAGCTTGGTCTAAAGGATATAAAAGGTCATAAATATATTGACTATAAGATGGGACATCTGATACAATTAGAGTATAATGTGAAATAATATGACTTGCAATTACTTTTTGAAGAAATTCATATGATGGAATAAAAGGAATTTGTTTTAATTCTTTTTTCTTTTTAGGAATAGTTAAAGCAAGAAGATATTCATCAAAATGATTAATACATGTAGTTAAGGATTCAGTTAATGAATGATAACTTGTGTCTTCAGTCTCATATTCACAATGACTCAACTGAAAGTCGAAGAATAGTTTATTAAGATTATCTAAAAAAACATCCCAAAGAAATGTATTACTTGATATTTCCATTTCATGTGGAATAAGCATAGAGAATGTAGAAGATATTATAGGATATTCTTCTCGTTCCCAAGCACACATACAAGGAATATGAATTGTAAAAACAATATCTTCATAACTATGATTATTAAAAGTAATAGTGCCGTAGTTATACATATAGTATGTAGGAATTTTTTCATGACGGTCTTTCACTGACTTTGCTGGTATTTTAGACAAAGAATTTTTCATAGAAATAGATTTAAGGTATTGGTTCATACAATATTTTTCAATTGTACTTTGACTATGAAGTTTTGGTAATGTGGGATTGTTGTATTGAATATGGAGTTGTTTTTCGTAATAATCTGGAAAGAGTTTAATATTAAAAGATGAAATATGACTTGATGGATGAGTCATTTTAAATGTTAAGTCACGATATGACCATTTATTTTTTGTTAAAATCATTTGATTAGTTGATTCTATCATACTATATAAATTAGACCAGATAACTCCCCAATGCTGAACAATATTTTGGCATTTAATATTCATTGACTTTGCATTAGGAAAAGACTTGGTAGAACAATTAGAAGCCTTTTCTCTTACGTTCATATTCTTTTTATTTATTTTTTTTTTTAAAGTTTTCTTTTTATGAAAGGAAAAGTATGAAGAAAAATCAATTAATGTTGTTTATCGTGTCTCTTCTGAATTTAGAGAGCATCAGAAATACGTTGTACAACATTTTGATATTTGACAACGGTGGTATTAGTTGTTCTTATTTGAACAAGTAATGAATTTAATTCATGTAAAATAGTGTCACAAGAAACTTGAATAGCATCAAGTTGATTTAACGAAACTATAACATTAGTTCTTAGACTTCCATCAGCTATTTTAATATTAAAGTTTTTATTTTCTAATGGATTAACTTCTTCTCCAAGCATGTGTACAAACTCAACGAAATTAGCTAATATTCTGTTATAAAGATCCAATTCCTTTTGGCAAGAAGTATTTAATAATTGAGTTTTCATTTTGGATAATTTAGGTAAAATAATTCCTTTAATCTTAGTGATTATTTGATTGATTTTTGTTTCTGTTTTTTGAGACCCAATAATATTGTCTTCAGGATTATACTGTAATGAAAGCCTTAAGTCTTTTTCTGTTGCTCTTCTACATGATGCAACAAGGAAGTTTGTACTTTTAATGTCTTCATCCTCTCCAACAATATCATCAACCATAATGTTATGTAATGATTCACTTCCAAGAGGTGTAATTGATCTTTTAATTTGTTCTTCTGGTTCATTTATTAATTCAGGAGTTTTACTTAACTTTACTTTAGAAGATTGTTTTTGAACTTTTGCATTACTTCTTGTTTGAGGTTTCCAGAAATTAGATACGTTATATTCTTCTAATTGTTCATCAAGTAAAAGACTAACAAGGGCATTTTGGCATTGAGGTAATAATGGTTGCATTTCTTGTACGTCGTCACATTTTTTTAATAATCTATAAGCAACATGATGTTTTGATTTTAATTCTACAAATGCCATTTCAGCACGAGTTAATATTTGAGAGACGGTCATTTGTTGAGGTTCAGTATTTTTAATATAATTTAAGAATGCAAGAGTATTTTTAATATTTCCATTTGTATGTTCTGCATATTTTATAAAATTCTCTTGAATAGTAGGAACTTTAGTTATTGCTTCTTTTGTTAAAGCCTTTGATTGTTCTAATTTATTTTCTTTACAAATTTCACAAAATTCCTTAAGTCTTCCTCTATCCACATCATTAGTAGTTAATTTGTCTACTTCTTTTTCAGTAAGTAAAGACATAATTTGAGGAGTTGTATATCCAAGACGAACAAATACTTCTGTATAGCTAACAAGATTATAAGGAATTAAATATTTAGCAACTCTAACAAATGTTTCTTCTTCACATGGAATTTCTATTGGGTCAGTTGCTGAAACTCCATCAACTAAAACTGGTGTTACTCTACAAATGAGTTCTTTAAAACAAGGAGAAGCTTGGAATCTTTCAAAGAGATTTTTAGAGTTCATTTCTTGAAAAACATAGTTTTTAGCTTCTTCAAAAATATTTTTGTCACATCCTTGAGCGTATTGAACAATAATTCTATTTCTAATAGGTTGTGTAATTGAAATTTCTTTTTCTGAACCAACGCTAATAAATTCTTCATATATTTTTCTACAAACCCATTCCCTTACATTTGCTGTTTTAATTTTAGCATAAATAAAAGCAGAACGGAAAAATTGAACATTTCTTTCTTCCCCAGTTCCTTTCAAATACTTTTCTAAATATAACGAACCAATTCTACTTTCTACAATAGATTTAAATGTTGTTAATAATTTTAATGTTTTTGGAATACTTAAACCATCTTGGACAGCGTTATACATTAAACCTTTGAAAGAAACTGCTTTTTCTCCTGTTAAATTAACAACAAGTTTCATATACTACAATTTAAGTCAAGTATTCATAACAAAAAAAAAATATTCGATTTTGAATAGAAGGAAAAAAAAAATAAATAGAAGAAGAGTATTTTTAATATGAAAATATTTACTCCTTAATAGTAAAATAAACAATAGTACAAAATACAAACTAATAGAATGATAGGATCCAACATATCATATCGTTGGTTAGCAATACATTGTATTTGTTCATTAGACATTCGAGGTAATTTTTTTGATAATTCTTTATAAAAAGATTCACAACAAAATAATTCGTTTTGAATTAAAGGAATAGTTTTAAATGATATTCCTTCAGTTGAACTTAAGAATTGTTGAACTTCATCTTGAATAATAGAATCTCCATCATTACTATAAATTGCACTAATTTGGTCATTAATCGAATGAATAAGTGCTTCTGCAGTTTTCATTGTTTCTTTTAAGGTTTTTAAGTCATTAACCAAGTTTAATACATTTTTCTTGAAAATTTCACAAAATTGTTTATCATAAACCAAGTTTGAACTACTTGAAGTGTCAGTTGGTTCATTTTTGAAACCCCTTTTCTTTTTATCTGACATGAAACTGCCAAATATGAGATGAAAATTAAAACACCATTTACTGGTTTTTAATACCGTTTTTATCCTTTCAATAATAATTCTCCTTTTAACTTTAAAAATAGATTCTTTAAATAACATAAATATTAATTTACAATAATTTGTGTTATTCTCTACTTGTTGATAATGAATATACACTTAACAATTTCAATAATCATTCATTCTTTGAACTTAAATAATCTAGTTAATCATTGTACAACTATTGTTTAAAATGTCTCAAGAATTACAATCTCATTTCGCTCTTAATCAATTTGTTTCTTCAGAAAATTTATCTAAAAATGAAGACAATGATATACTTCCATTTCAACCTGAAGAAGAACAAAAAGAAAATCAATTAAAACTAAAAAAGGATGATATCCAATTAAATATAAATATATTTTCTTTTGAAAAAGAACAAAAACAACTAACCCCTCGAACAATATTTTCTACAAAACCAAAAGTAAAATTTGGTCAATTAGTCTTTGATGAAAAACCTCAAGACTTTGACCAAATTAAACCAGAAATAAATGTTAAATCTATTCCAAAACCAATCCCAAGACGTAGACCTCTCTTTCAAGATGCTTTTAATAGTGAACCTAAAATGTTTTCTCCTCGTCATTCTCAAAGAAGTACTTTAACACTTGTTCCATCTAAAAGTGCTAGTCTACAATTAGATGAATTATCTTCTTCTCAACCTATTAGTACTAAAGAAGAGTCTCAAGAGTCTTTGTTTAAAAAAGCATTCTATTCAAAAATAAATACTCAATCCGATAAAGCACTAACAAGTACTTCTCAACCTAATAAAATAAATGATGGTATTTCTAATACAACAATGACAAGACCATTAACAATTGGAAAAAGAACAAACTCAAACAGTCTCACTAAAAGTAGTTTTGATGTATTTAATACTAGACCTAAACGTAATGCAGTTACTCTTAGACCAACAAGTATTTCTTCTATTGCTAATGCTTTTCATCAAGATTCTATTATGCCTCAAGAGTATTTAGATAAACCACATTTTACAATAAAAACACCCCATTCAAATACATTTAATCCAATACAACCAATAAATTGGATTGTTTATGGAATTGAACCTTCAAGACAAGAAATAGCAAATAATTTAAATTTATATAATGATATTCGTCATTTTGTATCTGACAAAGAACAGTGGAAAAAAGAAAATGTTTTGAATTATTTACCATTTTATGCTAATGCAAAACAAATTGGTGTATTAGCATGTACATGGAATGTAAATCAATCTGTATTTACAAGACGTGAAATTGATGAATGGACTGATGGTATTCGATTTAATCCAGATATTGTAGTTTGTGGAATGCAAGAATTAGAAATGAGTGTTGATGCAATTATCACAGGGAAAAAGTTTAGTGATAAGTCTATTCAGTATGAACAGATATTATACCAATCACTTAATAGAGGAAAGTTACGGTATGAGAAATTAGGATATTATCAACTTTGTGGAGTTGTGTTATATGTTTTTTTTAACACAAAAATTCAAAATGAAATTAGTGAAGTTGGATTTGAAAATATAAGAGTTGGAGCTATGAGTGGAGCATTAGCTAATAAAGGAGGAGTCGCTTATAGAATGAAAGTTTATGACTCTACTATTTGTTTTGTTGTTAGTCACTTAGCAGCTCATCAAGAGTTTTGGAATAAAAGAAATGAAGATTGGGTTGAAATTAGTAAAATGAAAATTTCATATTATGATAATATTTCAAGGTGTAATAAAAAAGTTAACTTATTACAACATGATATAGTGATTTGGATGGGTGATTTAAATTATAGAATTGAAATGTCTGATAATGAAGTTCGTAAAAATATGATAAAGAAAGATTATATAGAACTTGCAAAGAATGATCAATTACTAAATTCTATTAGAAGAAAACAAGCTTTTCATAATTTTTATGAGGCTCTTATTAATTTTGGTCCAACATTTAAAATTAAAATAGGAGAAAATAATGAATATAAAGAAAATCGAATTCCTTCATGGTGTGATAGAGTTTTATGGAAAACAGAAAATAGACATTTTGTTGAAGCAAAAGAATATACAAGTCATGAATTATATACTTCTGATCATAAACCAGTTACTTGTTTTATGAGTTTAGATTTACAATGTATTGACCAAATAAAAAAACAAGAAATACAACACTATTTAGATGAAGTAAGTAAAAAATATATAAATGTTATTATTCCTAATGTAAGTGTTGAACCAAATATTATTACTATTGACGATGTTGAATTATTACAACAATATACAACTACTATTGTATTGAAAAATAATGGAAAATTTGATGTAAAGTATCAAATTGAAGAAAGCAATCAATCTGAGTATCATGAAGATTGGTTAACAATAAAACAATGTGAAGGAGTAATTGGTATTCTTGAAGGTAAAAGTTCAATAAATATTCCTATTCAAGTTTATATTAGTCAAGCTCAAGCTTGGATGTATCAAGACCGTAATTTGTTATTAAAAAAAATTAATATTTGGTTAGGAGATAATCATTCTCAATCTATTTCATTTAGTGTTATTGCTAAGACACCAACAAGTGTTATTGGAATGAGACTAGAATCATTGAATCGACTTGCCCGTCCATTATTAGGAAGTATTAATAAAGAAATTAATTATAGTATAGTGCCATTTTATATTCCAAAGGAATTATATCGACTAACAAATTACATTATTGACCATTATCAACAATCTTGTTTTGTTGAAATTCGTCCATCATTATACACTTCACAAGAAATGAGAAGTGTTATTCATTCATTAAATACTGAATCCCCATTTCCAAATGGACCAATACAACTCTTTTGTGACGCCTCATTAATGTTTATATCAGGATTACATGAATGTTGTATATATTATAATATATCAGAAAATTCTTCTGTATTAAATGATTCAAAAATCAATCAAATTATTAAATTTGCAACTCCTGATGAATATCGTCATCTCTTTTTTTATTTAATTTCTTTTCTTAAGAAATTAATAGAAATGGGAGAAGATAAAATAATATTAGTTACTCGTTTTGCTCCTCACATTTTTAGATGTTATAATCCAACAAAAATTAGTCCATTTATTCATTTTCTTTCAACTGTTTTAACTAATCCATTGTCATTTTTAATTGAATAATATTATTTCAAAAAAATAAATGTTTAGTTTAATTCAATTTTTTTATACCTTTAATCATTAAGTGTTCTGATGAATTTTTTAGCCTTATACAAATTATCTTTTCTTTTAATAAAAGATTTCCATGAACTTAAAACAGAACTAAACTCTGAAGACTTTTCTAAATCAGCACGCTCTTTTAATAACTCTTTTCTCAATTTAAGTGCCTCTTGTGGATCTATCATTTCTATCTCTGGATTAAATGAATTTAATCGAATAGTAAATATCCCTCTTTCTCTTGCTAATGTCACAATAACTTGAGCAGTAATTGGTCTATTGTCACTAAAACATGACCGTTCCGTAATTCCTGAATACATAACAATCATTGGATATTGTGATGTACATGTTTTAACAGTATTTTTATCTATATCAATAAATGCTAATTCAGTGTATTTATGTTTTACAAGCATATTAGCAGCAATATCAAGCTCTTTCTTTGCTTTAATACAATCTTCAGAAACACTATCACAAACTAACAAAATTAAATCTTTATAATCATGTTTGTATGCTTCTAGTTGCTTGGCATTAATTTCATGAACTAACCCTTGCTTATTTTCATCAATTGGATCACTATTTTTTATGAATTGTTCCACACTACCATTACTACATCCTTTAATATACTCTCTAATCTCTGACCATTTTCCTTCTTCAGATAATTTCAATGGAATAGTTGGTTCTAATGTTTTCATTGAATAAGAAAAGACAGCAGGAGCTTCTTTGACAGGTAATAAATCAAGTATTTCATTTTTGTTATCAACATAAGTAACTAACCAAAGATAATTTTCCAAAGCAATTTTTTTTAATTCTACAAGATCATTTTCATTGATTTCATTGTTGTAGAAAACTATAATGTCTCTATTTCTAAAATTTCTTTTAATTATATTTGCATTTAAACTTGAAACAATTGGGTTTGAATAAGAATTGATAGCCTTAAAAAGTATGTTCATATCTAAATCTAATGGAAGCTGTAAAGGTATAAATTCATCATTATAAAGAATAAGAGATTTATAAGTATCATTTATACTATAAAAAGGAATTCTTCGAATAGCCCTTGCTAGAAACAAAAAGTCATTAATAATTTCTTGAGATGTGTACTGAAGTAGTACGAAAGTTTGGTTATTTGAAATCATTTTATTTAATTCTGTTGAATTAATCTCTCTTATTCCATAAATGATATTTTGTAAATCATTGATTAAAACGTCGTCAATTTTATCATAAAAAGTACTAATAAACTGATGGTAAATAGCAAATACAGGACATTTATGAATGTCGTGTGAAGTACAGATAATTTCATTTTCATTACAATTAATATCAAGGTAAGTGATGACTGAATTTGATAATTTTTTTTCTAACACCTTTAATTGATTAACAGTATCATTATCTCCTTTGTGAAAACCAACAACAGTAATAAAGCTTTCATCAAGAATAGTCCTAAATAAGTCTTCAGTTATCTGTACATCTTTACCAAAAACAAGATTTAAAAAGAAGAGAAGAGCAATATAAAACATTTTGTTATTTTAATTTTTAGAGATAAAAAAAAATAAATAATACAATTACTTCTAAAAATAAGGTAGTTTATGACTTTAATTAAAATTTAATTTTTTTTTATTAATTTAATATTATTTTATTCTATCCTATCTTATATTTATATTTGGTTCTCTTCTTTTCTCCTTTTCGTTTTAGGCTTTTGTTAATTCTCTTGAGTGTTCTGCTGATTATTATTGCCTCTCTTTTTTTTATCATTTTGTTGTATCCTTCCTTATTCTTATTTCTATATTTATAGTTAGAACCAGATGAAGAAGACTTGAAAAAGAATGAAAGAAGGGAAGAAATTCTTACTTGGTCAATCAGCTAATACCTTTAATAACCTTAATTTGATATTTACTATTATTTTTATATTTATCAATTAAATTATTTTTTATCTTAACTCTTTAAATTAAATCAGATTATCATACCTAATACAAGGTTTTAGTTAATTAAATTTCACTTTTTTGATTATCCCGATCAAATATTTGTTAATTTCTTTTTTATATCTTCTTATTTGTATTTATTCTGTCTTGGTTGTGTTGGATCTTTTTGGTGATTTATTTCAATTTTAATATTAATCTCATATTAGTATAATAAATATTAATTGTTTTATTCATTTATTCAAATTAATAAATACAATATTTTATTTACTACGGATATATTATTGAAAATAATATTTTATCTTTTTAAAGTGTAATTGTTATCATCATTATAATACCAATATTTTTAAATATACTTACAGTTATTAGATCAATATAACGGTTGATAATTTAATAATAACAGAATAAATAGTTTTTATTCTCTTTTTTAGTTCATATTAATCTTTATTTCAACAACAAAATAATGTTATGAAAGTCACATAAAACAATTTACACTGACAAATAGATTTAGATGATTTATCAAGGATATATTTATAGTCAGTATCAACAAAATAATAATCACATTTACTTTATTCATTTTTATAGTATTTATAAACATCATAACATATTCTCATTTAAAAACACTTATAGTAGATTTAAATTAATTAGCATGTTTACAATTATCACATTGAGAATAGAATGTTTAATCAATATTGTGATGAGAGAAACAAAATAAAAGAAAATGTATATGAATAAAGAAAAGACAAAAAACAGAAACAAGAAGAGGTTGAAGAAATGAAGAAAATAAATGAAGAAAATAAAGAATAGAGAAACGTGAACAACAAAAGAAAAAGATAAAAGAAAAAGAATCGAAAGAAGAAAATTAGATGAAACAAGAAAAAGTAAAGAATAGGAGAAATAAAGCACTAAATAGAAGAAGAGAAGAAGTATTAATGATATTGATTAAATATAATAAATAACAAAATGAAAATGAGAAAATAAGGAATAGAAGAAAATAAAGATAAACAAAGAATTTATAGAAATTGATAAAAGATAAAATGATGAAATAAAAAGAGAAATACGAAGAAATTGAATAATGAATTATACTTCAAACCAATTCCATAATTTAATAGAATTAATGAAAAATCACATGAATGATAAATAAACATAAATAAAATGAAAAAATAATAATAGAAATAAAAAGAAATAAACAAGATAAAGAGAAGAGAAGAATAAAAGAAACATTGAAGAACAAGATGATGAAATAATAAGATAATAATGAATACGAATAATCAGAGCAATAAATGAAATATGAATTGAAAATGAAGAGATTTTATTAATCATATGATAAAAGAAATAATAAAAGTGAATATAATAAAATTTATTAAATTATACAAAATAAGAATAACTCATCTGCATCAATAAAATAATGAAAGAGTAAATAGAATGAAATATATTAATAAATTGAAATAAATAACAAATTATCCAAATAGAATGAGAATAAAATAAAATTAAACTACAATACAAATGGAAATGATAAAAACAAAAGAAGAATAGAAAATAAAGAAATAATCAATGTATTGAAACAAGAAATAATCACTAAAAGTGAATATTTCATAAAAGTGAATATATTTATATAAAAGATAAAATAAGCATAATAAATGACA